TGAAGAAATAGGATATAAAAGAAATAATGGAAGTTTTTAAACTCGTGTTTGATATGCGAAAATGTGAATGCGTATGGCGATATGGTGATGGGTTCGTGCAACTGGGACAAGTGATACCTCTTTAGTGGTCGCAATTAAAAAACTATATTTGGAGGGAAAATGAGAATGAAGATTATTGTACTGGGGCGATATTTTGATAAATATAATGACATATATGCATTTAGGTATAATAATTCTTTTTTTTTTTAAATTAAATAATATTACAAAATTGTTATTTGTAGTTTCCTATTAGGCTAATTGATTGAAAAATCTTAACATGGATAAAAATTTCGAACTCTTTTAATCTAATCGAGCTTCTAAATAATTCAATTCATTTGTTCCTCTTTACATTAATTCAATTATTATAATATCATATATCACTTACATACTTTTAAAATTAAAATCCAATTTTCAACATATTCAATTTCTTTTCCCTCCCTCCTCGAAGAGATTATTTCCACAAACATCGGATACGAAACAAACAAGAAAAAAATTCAAAGAAAACAAGAAACATTTTCTCTCACGTTTTCCCTCATAGAATCATACACATACATTATCTTATCGCGTATCCCCAAGTATCATCCCTTAACAATCGCCGTAATAAAACCTCTCTAGAAATTGCATCAAAATGAAATCAAAGTGAATTTCCTCCCTTTTTTCGATTATCATCGTTAATCAAAAAAGAAAGAAAGAGAAAAAAAACAATAATAATCAACCGTCTTTCGAACTTCTTTCTCTCCCTCCCTCTTACAAAAGACGAAAGAACCGAAGAAGAACCTTCCTTAAACTACCAACCAGAGAAGGGACCACGCTAAATTTCTCGCTTTGCGTGGCGATGTAACAATCAGAATCCGAACCGAATCGATTCTAAATCCCCTCTTCTCCCTCCCTCCGTTCTTGAGCGTTTCTCGCGGCAAAGAGGATACCTCGAGCCATCTTCGAGATGATCCGGTTTGTCCTTCTTCCCTCCCCTCGTCTTGGTCTCTCAATCGACAATAGCCCCCGATCGGTTGAATTTCGAGGCAATAGCTCGCGGACGCAATCGTCTATACGGTCTGCGGGCACGGAGCGTATTCAATGAAATTCGATTATCCCGCACGATCTTATCGCTCGAGGGCAGGTGCAAGATCGTAGCACGAACCTAGGTACATCCAATTTCCGGCAAAGAATTACCTCTCTGTCGGCCCTAAGACACCGGGGAACGCAGTCGTAACCGCGGCTTAACTTAACACACCCACGCAAATTTACCTCGCTCCCACACCTTTACTTTTTCACTTTCACCCTTTTCGTTTACCGCCCTGTCGTTGCTTACTCGGCTGAACCGTCATGGCGGTCGTTGGACCTTCTTCGAGGAGAATTATTTCTTTATTGTTTCGAACTTGTATGCTCGCGGTTTTCCGAATTTGACGATTATTCCGTTATTTTCATTGTGCATTTAAGAATATTCCGAACACGTCGAGAATGAAAATCGATAATTAATTAATCGAATTTTATTATTTATTCGGATAATTCTTAAATTTCAAAATTATTAAATTTCGCATGAAAAAATACAGGAACTGAAGTAAATTTAAAAAATTTGCTTCTATAAGAATTAAATAATAAGAGAGAAAGAAAATTAGTAAATTTTTCGTATTATACGATATTTTTGAAGAAACGAGAGAGAAAGCTTTAATTTTTTTTAAATTGAATGCTTTACATACATTTCTCCACGTTATAAAACGATTCCATCCATGTGTTACGACACTTCTTCGATATGTACGAACGATAATACAAATTTTATCAAAAGCGAATCTGTTAACTCAATCTGTTCGCCGATAATAAAGTACTTCCGTCCAACGTATTTCAATCTTTCAAATTGCTTCTGAAACCATTCTTATTTACCATCCCTCGCATATGTTTCTACCTTCAACCCCGTTCTTCTTTCATCTTCCACCACCCACTTCCACAGCTACCAGGTATATCGTCTCCAGGGTAATTTTATTATATTCCTTCCTTTTTCCAGGTACCGGTTTCGCCAGACCCTCTTATTTCGTCGCGTCTCCAACTATTATTTAAGCTGCGCTCCACCTTTGTTTCACCTTCTTCTTCTTTTTTTTTCTTCCATCCGTTTACCCCTACCATACTTTTCCACCACCTCTCCTCCTCCATTTTTTCCTTCTCCTTCTCCGTCCTCTTTTAATACACCGTGCGAGCCACCCTTTTTCCACGTCGAAATTATGCAAAGAAGAAGACGATGGCTATCTCCTCGCATCACACGCTGTCTCATTTTTCCCTCCGATTCTTTTTTTCCTTTTTTTTTTCTTTCTCTCTCTCTCTCCCCGTTCCCTTCTTCTTCTTTGCCTTTGGCATTGCCTGTGTACATTTGGTCTGGAGGTGGGACGTTTCTTAAGAATGCGACTGGCGCCGGATAAGAGCGAGTTTCCGGTGGTGGTTCGCGTTGCATGCGATTGAGAGAAAACGCCGTGTGGCCTAAGTGGCGCGAGAATATGGCTTCCCCCCTTTTTTTCGTGGCCGGGGGAATTTTATTTCTTTCCCTTTTGTTTTATCCCTTGTGCTTTGCCAATGATGCATTTCGTTCCGCGACGATGTGAATTTCAAGAAATTCTTTTGTCTTTGTGTTTCAAAGGTTGCATTTTCTCTTGGATCCTTCTTCTTTC